AAGACACATGGGTATCCGGTAAAATCAAGTAGTCAAAAGATGCACCCCATGTGCTTATCAACAAGAGCCAATAAAATATTCCTAGTAAGATGGAAAACCTAAAATTAAAGTGAGAGCTCAGTATTTACAAAACCTTTTCCTTTTTTTTTCTTTTTGAGAGAGAGAGCGTGAGTGGAGGAGATGGGCAAAGGGAGAGGGACAGAATCCCAGGCAGGCTCCATGTCCAGCACAGAGCCTACCTTGAGGCTCATCTCAACCATGAGATTATGACCTGACCCAATATCAAGAGTTGGCTGCTCAACTGACTGAGACACCCAGGCGCCCCACACAAAATCTTTTCTTTCTTTTTTCAAATTTTTTAAATGTTTACTTATTTTTGAGAGAGAGAGAAAGAGAGAGAGAGAGAGAGAGAGAGAGAGAACGGGAGAGGGGCAGAGAGAGAGAGGGAGACACAGAATCCGAAGCAGACTCCAGGCTCTGAGCTGTCAGCACAGAGCCCAATGTGGGGCTTGAACCCATGGCCCAGGAGATCATGACCTGAGCTGAAGTCTGATGCTTAACTAACTGAGCCACCCAGGCACTGCTCTTTCTTTTTTTTAATGTTTATTTATTTTATTTTTGAGAGAGAGAGAATGTGAGGGAAGGACACAGAGAGAGGGGGACAGAGAATCCAAAGCAGGCTCTTCACTGACAGCAGACAGCCTGATGCAGGGCTTGAACTCATGAACTGCGAGATCAGGACCTGAGCTGAAGTCAGATCACTTAACCAACTGAGCCACCCAGGCACCCTACAAAACCTTTTAAATATAGAATCTGGAAATTACGCTGACCCCATGATTAGAAACAAATGTGACAGGCAAGTCATTAAAGACCTCATTACAACCCTTCACAAAAGTTCACAGAGCAACAAGTAACCTGTTTACAACAATTAACTTTTTCTTACAAAATGTTTATTGAGAAGAGTGCTTTACTCCGTAACTAAAAATACATCATTTTTAAGTGCCATTTTTATTAGAGGAGCTTCCGAAAATGACTAAAAGGAAGAAACGGTAGCACTTAACTGTTCCCAGAGTCTTATACGTGTGTTAATTCATGTAGTCTTCAATTCTTGAAACAATCTAGTGAGGTAGTATTGTTATTTACATTTCATAGGAGAAAACTAAGCTAAGAAACTCTCTCAAGCTCACACAAGCAGAGGAGGTGGTGGGATTCAAATTCAGGTAGCCTGGCTCCAAAGTCAGCTCTCAGCCACTTAGCGGAGCGTCAAAATGCAGAGAAGATAGTTTTCCTGTCAGACATTATTTTGTTGAACAAAACTTAACCATGGCAGAAATGAAAATGACATAAAATGGCAGAAGAGGAACTCCTATACAAATATTTGTCATGTGTTTTGTTATATCATTCAAATGCTCAATATAAAATAGCTCAAAATTTAAAATATATTTATACTTTAATCTTGCTTATATTTAAACCAGCAGTAATTTTCCTTTAAATATATTATTTTAACTGGGCTTACTAAATTAACCATGGAAATTTTCTAACTTTCTTTTCAGAGCATTACCCTGAAAAGTTAACTCTTGGCAATAACTTTAAAAAGCAAAAACAAAAAACAAAAAACAAAAAACAAAAAACAGGGGCACCTGAGTGGCTCAGTCTGTTTAAGCGTCTGACTCTTGATTTCAGCTCAAGTCATGATCCCAGGGTCGTGGGATTGAACCGCGTGTGTCAGGCTCCATGCTGAGCATGAAGGAATCTCTCGCTCTCTCTCCTTCTGCCTCCTACCCTGCTTGCATATTCTCTTTCTCTAAAAGAAAAAAAGTGTTTTCTGTTAAAAATTCTGCAAAAAAGTTTTTAAAAATACATTTATTATCAGATGTCTACTAAACTTCCAAAGGAACATTTAAACTTTATTTTTCTGATCCTAAAGACTTCTACATTAGCTTCAGTTAAATAAAACAATTTTGAGCTTATTCTTTAAGCCTGGAAGACTGCCAAGTGAATATGAATAACCATGTCACTGAAATTTCAAACCATGCAACTAACATGTAAATCAAAAGATTGCACATTGTTTCATTCAGAACTTTACCAAGTGTGATCCACTACGGGGGGAGGGGGGGGCTAGTTCTTACTATCACCAGATATGCCCCCATGTTACTAAATCACAATACTCTACGTTACTGCTGTCTATATGCAGTGATCACACACACACACACACACCACACTCATACACGCATCAGCCTCCTTTATGTCTTCTGGTATAATTATGCCCAGGTATTTACACACTGAAATGCAAATGAATTAGAATAAATTTTCCTTTTACTTGTATTTTACATTACAATTCAGTTATTTTCTATTTATATATTACAATTAAGTTATTATATACATTTTATTTATGTGTGGAGACATTTATGAATTTCACTTCAGGATAGTAATGGCGACATATTTTATAAAAAGGAAAGGGTTTGATATAAGATTTACTGATTTAGATGTCACGTGTGATACAAGAATGAACCTTGCATAGACGGAAAATTAAATAGGTGACGATGACCAACATGTTCCCAATACACTAGCAAAATAAATTTCAATGTTGCTTAATCAAATGGAAAGAAAAGTGTGTTCAATGCCTAAATTTTGCTTTGGAACTCATAATTAAATGTCACAGTGTGTCTTTCTGATGAAACATGTAACTAAACTTTCAGATGGCTATGCAGATGAGCTGATATCATGCCTGGATGGGTAGGATCAGTGCTGCTTTGTCCCAGCCCCTCCTCCTCTTCCACCCTCAGATGGTGACCCCAGAGGAGAAACAGAGCTTTGTTCGGCAGTGGGCCTGTGGTTCTGCTGTGTGGAAAATCTCATGACCCCCATCCCTCACGTTGCATTTACGTTCTGTCATACTGACTAAAATAACTAGACATTCTTACTGTTTTTCTCTTCAGTGCAAAGCCAAATATTTGGTTCATATTTTATGGAGAGATCTTTTAAAAATGTCAAACAAAAGCTGCTAAAATAGCTCACTCTACAATGATAACCATTTGAGTGGTCAAACATATTTGTGTATTGTAATTAACTTTTTTAATCTCTTGTTATTTAACATGCATGTACTACATACTCAGGATCACGAAAGCAAAAGAAAATTCATTTCTAATGGACACATATATGTTTCAATAGACTTTACAAAATCAACCATATAAGCAAAGTTATTAAATATGACTTGGAAAAGCATCAATAAGAGAACTTGAAAAAGGACACATGGACACACACACACCAAACTAAAAAGCCTAAATATAACTCAAAAGAAAAATTAAAATAAATGAAGTGTTGTCATTAATTTACAAAAAAGAAAAACAATCTGGATAAACCACAAAGATGGGAGCCCATACCCTTTCCAACTACTTCTCTAAGCTGAAACATGGTGCCTCTATTGATTCTTCAATAGAAAATCCCTGAAAAAATAAGCATATGTAGAAAGCATTGTGAAATATGGTTTGGGGCAGAAGGAGTGAAATAACTACATGTACGTAGGGTGACTTTCCCACTTCTCTCATTCCTCTTGGTCTGCACTTACATATTGCCCCTCATCTCTGCGGTTTCAGCAGGTGCTCACTGAAGACACACGTTCACCGTATGTAAACTTATATAAACCTCTTCAAAGTCTTTGCTGGTATTGTACTTAGAGCTCTCAGTCACAGTTTTCTGTAAAATATGATCATGTTAATCACATGGTTAAGTTTCCCTAAAAAAACAAAGTCATTTTTTTATTAACATGATGTTATGTATCAATTCAGTGTTTGTGTAGGTTTACATAAGACAAGCAAAATTCCATTTTGAAGGTGTGAAGTGTAAGGATCATAGATCCTTGAAAAGCAATCAGCTAGAACTTCATTCTAATGTTCAATTTTTTGTATATTGATACGTTGGGAAAGAAATTCTGGTATGCACATACTAAGAATTACGGAGACTTCAAATAAGTTGAAATGTGTGAGATGCTGAGTGATTAGATCTTGGGATTTAATCCATGTGTTTGGAGGACGTTGCTTAAAGTTTTCCTTATATTTCTTCTCCCACCCCCATCCTTTTCCTTTGCACAGATTTCATTACGTAAAGAAATGTTCTATCCAGAGTAGTTCCAAGAACCTTTCACTGCCATGGAATTCCATGGAAGTGATAGTTTTACTCTTCCCAGAAGGACTTTAATCACCATTTACTGATATAGAGAAGTTATTAAGTAAATGGAGAAAAGATAAATCTCCTATGCTGAAGAATTCCATATAATGGAATACTCTACCCTCTGGAAGCAGAAGCAGAACTCCCACTCCATAAGTGTTACCTGCACTCAGTGACTTTCTTCCAAAAAATGCAGTATGGAAAAAGGGAAAGAAGGGTAACTAGAGGAAAGAAGCCTGACACACAATCCAGCCAGTAATCTAGGTCAACATGAATGTCAATAAATCATGTTGATAGTATCACAATATTATAGGATAAAAAGGTGCTTTAGTTACCCCCATATTGTAGCTAATTTTTTCAGTAAACCGTGAAAAGAAATGCATAATAAAGTAACAGTTTTCAGAGAAATCAGATTAATATGAAATAAGAAAGCCAATATGAAAGCCTATAAATTCTAGTTTTTAAATTATATTCTAACATTATGTATCTGCATTACTTAAATATAAGAAGATTCAGATTGACAAACTGAAGAAGCAAATGATAAAGATTTTAGTTTCCAAAATTCATACCTGTCGCCTTTATTATGGAATAATTCAAAATAAACTTGTGGTCTATAAACTGTTACAAGATAACCTCTGTTAAATGTGAGTGAGTTTGATAACATTTAAGCATTTTCTCACACTTCTATGTTTCCAGGTAATAAATTTTAAATTTTATTATTACCAAATAAGAGTATATGAATATTTTTTCAAATTAAAGTATTCGCTTGACATATTAGTTTACTAACATGAAGTTAAAAGTTGTACATAAAACTATAATAATGACAATTCAAATGAAGTAAACAGAATAAACCATTTATTAAAACACTGTGTAATAAAATAAACATTCTGACCCAATGCTACAGTGGTAAACATTTTCTCATTAACATTCCACCTAAAACAGTTAAATTACAACATAATCTGACCAGAACAAATACTTCTGTTCTTTACCATTCAATGTTTGGACAGTGAGGTGAATGCAGATTTAGGTTTTCTTGATGAGCCAAAGATAGAGGATAATAGCCTAAAAGACCATCACAATTCCATATGTCTGAAGGTTAAATTTTATTTACCCTGTTCACTGGTCCACACTTAAAATTTTCATTATATCATACAAAGATTTCATGAATCACCCCCTCCCAGCCAAAAATAAATATTAGGAACAAATTAAGGATAAGAGTTGGGGGTTTTAAACTGCACTTTATTTACTTCTGTAACATTGTCTTTTTTTTTTTTTAACTGATCAACTATAAGCATGCAACAAGTTCTCTTCTGAATGGAAGTGTTTCCACAACCCCGTGGATACCAATAAGTAAATTATAAAGTCATTCAATTTGTAGCTCTCTCCTCCTTTAAAGCACTTCTAAGCAGTGTGTGTGATACATACCACAGAGGTAGGAAAGACCATCTTTAATAAATTATCTTCTTAATTGTACAGAATTTCTGAAAATAAAACTAACAAAATGCTAAACCATGCCTTTGAGGAGTACCAAAGGACCACAGAGCCATCTCCTTCTATTTGAAGAATTAGTTCCCTGGAGAGTTCTGGCCTTTGTAGGGCACTTGATAACATGATCCACCAGGGCTCCATACAAATGCACTAAGAAAGCCTCCACTTTCATTTGCCGATTCTTTGGACCACCCAATCCTGCTGGCAGAGAGGACAGCGATTGTTCTGTTTCACCCACAGGGACATGCAGCAGTTGTGGAAGGAATGATTACATTCTCCCCAGACCACTAAAAGGAGGAAAAAAAAAAGAATATTTGACATCACATATTTTAATTTGAATTATCAAACTCAAAATTATAGGCTATTTTATATTATGAAGAATCATGACTCATAATCTTGAATAAAGATGGCTAATTAGTCAACATTTTTTTATCTATAAAGTAACAACTTACCTGTGAAAAACACACTTAAGAAGTGAGATGAGGCGCTGGGATTGGGGGACTTTCCATCATTGTTTAGAATCTGTGAGTGAGGTGGTGGCCCCCAGTCCCTACACAGCTCCACATGCTGTCTTCCTGAAGTTAGGAGATTAAAGGACTTGAGCCTACCTTAGATCCCAGACCTTCTCAGTCATACAGTGACCTTGGAGACCTTTTGATCTTTTTTTTATTGAAAAATATCCTCCTGAATTTTATTTACCAAGATACTGTTTTCAGTTCATAGTAGTTTGTTATAAATAGATGACATACTTCTAAACATTATCAGCTGTACATCTACTCAGTTATTTTCTAGAAGTGTTGATGTCATCCATAAGCAGTGCAATTCTTCATGTGACAAACACATGAACCTTGCAAAGAGCTGGCTGGAAAGAGAAGACCTTCTGTGATCAAAGAAAGGTGGCCTAAACCTCACAATTCCCAAGTTAAATATTTCTTAAACCAAGGGCAGTCACCCATTATCTGAAATGCAATTTCTAATGTGAGCTTTATTTGTCCCTTGCTTGACCTATATGATAACAGAACAATGAAAGACAATGGATAAAAAAAAAAAAACCCAAAACTTCTTATGAAAATTGGTTAAAGGGTATAGAAGCAAGAAATCAGTCTGTTTCAGGAAGAAGAAACAGGATTTGATAAATACTGAATAAATCATTATTAAAAAGCTATATGTAAACCACACAAACACAAAGTACAAAGTTAACTTTTCATTTTCAGGAAAGCTTTTATAAATAGCAATCTACAAGTGAGGACTTCAAGAACTAGGACATGAAAACCTTTTGAATTGCTTAAAATATTTATCCTACGACAATTTTTCTAGTCCCAGATTATTCGCAAAATTCAATAGATTTCCATACAAACTATATTATAAAAGAGAGTACTTAGAATTTTTTTTCTACATTAGTTGAAAAGTTAAATACTATATAATAACAGTACTGAAAACTGCAATGCTTTATTAAAATAAAACCCTACCAAATGTGACCTATAACACAGTTATAATTTAAATGATGCTTTGGTAATTCCTTATAATTTTCGTAACAGAAAAGAATTATTTCTTCTTTATCAAATATTTACTATGCCCATATATAAATCAATTCTTCTTAATTACAGGCCAAAAAAAAAGAACTTGTAGATTAATTCCATTAAGGTCTTTTGAAAACTAACACATTTTATATTAATAATAGATCACTGCTTTACAGTTTATTTTTGTGTATTGATAAAGTCAATCTTAATCGCAAATTCAAACATCCCCACTGAGAGAAAACCTTCAGTTGAAAAAGCAAGAGAATGAAATTACAACATACCAACACAATCCTCTTGTTTGTTTTCAGCTTGACATCTAAGACAGGCATCTAAAAGTAAACAAATAGCAATTCTCATTCTGATGCTCAGAATGCAATTTCTAAAACCCAGACACTTCAAAGTCAAATAAAAGCCCAAAGGGTTAGAGATGGAGATAAAAGACTCATACTATTAATTTCTCATCTGAACGTAACTGTTTAAAGATGAATAAAGTGCAAGGCACTCTACTCATTTACTTATAACCAGGAGCAATTTCACAAGGGTTACCAACCCTCTATTTTCACAAGCTCTGATGAAAAGATGTCCCCGAGGTGAATTCAAACACTAGAGAAAAATATGCCACACTTCATTATACCTGAAGTTCTTATATGCTCCCTAGGCATGCTCACATAGATCAACCTTGGGGGTAGTTTATTTTCAAGACACCTTTTAAAGTAAGCCACACATATAAACTGGTATTTGCCTAAATACACATAAAGAAACTCTAGAGGAATAACCAAGTAACTAAAAATAAAGTTTACCTAAGAGGAGATGGAATGGGAAGGAGTTTTCACTGTATAGTTTCTTAAAATTTTGAATGATGTGACTGTATGATCTATATAAAAATTAATTTTTAAAGAACCTCTTGTAAATACTAGGTTCTCTCTCTTTTTAAAAAAAATTCTCCCTTTAAAATATATCTGAGTCCAAAACATTTATCCAACAATGACAATGTATTTTAATAATTTACTTAGGAGAACATTTTAGGAATGGGAACCTAAAATGGGAACCTAATTTTCACAATTTAATCCAGACTGCTATTTGCCTGATGAAGGAGGTAATATAGAATATTTTACGGACGAATGAAGTAGATTCACTGACGAGCTGGAAGAGGAGTCCAAGATGGGTAAAAGGAAGTTCAAACCGACAACAACAAATAAACAGTTTTTAACATAAATTAGAGAAAAAGAATTCTGTAAAAATAGATACACAGTGGAGCTGAAGTCTGCTCCTTTTCTTAACACTGGATTATGCTCAGGCATTTGTTTGCTCCTCTCTGCATGCTCTTGCCCTAAAAAAACACACCACCCTGGCCACTTCGGTGTGGATTAAAAACAACCACTGCCTCCTGAGGCTTTCTTCAATCCCACAATTACTGAGTATCTACTCTGTATATGGAGTTATGCACCGGGGACACAAAAATGACCAAGTCTGGGTCCCTGGCTGGTCTCACCAGGAAATGGGGAGGTACTCAGGCAAGCAACTAAATATCATAAAGATCATGATATAACGGTGAAAACATGGCTCTGGTTCTATATAATCACAGAATTATAGTCTGTGTACCCAACTACCTCTTTCACAAATTAGGAAAACAAGACACCAGAAGGTATGTCGAATGTCCAAGTTAACAGAAATAGCCATGAAGGGTTACTCCGGCACTTGAAAACTCAGCAGTACCAGCAAACCTAGTTTCCTCTTCAACACTTGCTCACTGTGCCATCTGCTCCTTTCAGAATGAAGGGAGAAGAGTGGAAACCAGAGAGTGTTAACCGAATCAGAATGGGCTGACAGGCAGATCTTGGATCAGGAAATCATAATAAATCATTTAGGTGTATGGGAGGAATTTGAAATATTAAGGAAAAATTAAGGAATTAAGTGGGCTCTTTTACAGAATCTAGAAATCTCTGGATTATGACTCTGACTGACATTTGACTTAGACTCATTATCAAAAACCAACCTAAATCTATAAAAATTCCTAAAGTTTTAAGTAAAAGAAAAAAATTCTTTTCACGATATTCCTAAAGTCTAAAACAAAACATTTCTAAGGAGTACAATAACAGTAACTCCTTTTAGAATGATGCTAACTAGGGTTAGGCTTGGGAAGTCTGAAAAACAAACTTCCTTCTGCTGTCACCTGACCACTAAATGGATTTTAACACCTCGTAAAGAAAATACACAGGTCTAGTCCAGAATACGTTCCTGAACTCAAAGTACAGCTGTTATAAATCTGCAAATTTAATCCACAGTTGCAGAATACTTGCTGTAATTAGAAAGCTAATCTGAATGTGAAACATTTATAGCCCATACTTTGACTTACTCCAAATATCTCAGTAAAGTTTATGGGTTGCAAGATTTCAACCATTACTTTGAATTCTGCATTTCTACCTACAAATCTAAACTTTTTCTCTGGGGAGAAATATAAAACACACTTTCGGGAACATTCTTCATTTTAAACTAAAGGGCATTTAGGGGATAAAATTTTTAGCAAAGCTTGTCTTGCAAAAGAAGAAAAGATTAAATTGCTTGGATAAAAGTTAACAATGCTACTCAAACTGGAAATTATGATTCTAGCTCTTAAGTAAGAGGTGGGGTAAAGGGGCTGTACTGCAGGCCAATAAACTAGGTACTTTCAAGACCTAATATGCAAAATAAGTGGATCGTGTCTGAAATCAAGTTCTTTCAGAAGTAAAAAGTAAAAAATATCTGAATCCCTTCGTTGTAAATCCTCTTTGAAGCAAGTCCTCACGAATAAAAAAACAAAAGTGTCTAAAGAGTGTAAATTGAGAAATCTCTTGATTCTGGTAGGCTCAAATTCCATCCCTTGAGAGAGAAATTCTGTTTATTTTCTCCAATTCTCTGATTTTTCAGAGCAAGTTTTCAAACTTATAGAACCTGTTTTTTTTTCCACCGACCCCCAAGAAACAACATTAAGATTCTCTCAGTAGTTTCAAATGCTCTATTTAAAACCATAATTGGCATTTAGAAGAGCATCTCTTTTCCAAGGTGGTCTGAGATCTTAAAGCAGAAAGCATATAAAATATAAAAGGATGAAGCTGTTCTGAAAAGTTTTATTCGAAAGTCCAGTAGTTTTATTCGAAATATCATAGAAGCAAGTTCAGACTTATTTGTACAACAGGGCTCTCCACAAAGGCCTGACTCAGAGCAGGGCAGGATTCTCTTCAGGAAATGGAATCCTATGATAGGGAGGGGCCAGAAAAAGTTCTATGTTTCTGAATAAAGGGCTTACATTCTTCAATCCCCATGAACCTTAAATATTCTTGAACCACAATGCATCCCCTTCAAGCCAAGCGAATGCCGTCTGACCCATCCTGAAATATCCAGACTTAAAAGCCCGCAGAACACCAGTAGCTATTTCAGAAATGCAATGGCTAGGAACATTTTCTTCCTTTCGCCTCTCAAGAGCGAACTACGGGTGTCGTTTCTGTGGAGAATGACTCCAGAGCATCACTTTGGCGCGTGATCACAACCATTAAAGTGCCCTACTTATTCAAGGCCTTTACCCTGACCCCTCTGCGGCTTACTTTTTAGAGATGGAGCTGGCCACACAAACCCAAGTGGTTTCTTCCCAGCTGCCATTAAACCATCCAGTTTTATTTCCTTGGCCACACCCATCACTACCTGAAATTACCTTGTTTAATCCTTCAGCTCACTCACTGCCCGTTTCTATCCCTAGAATACCAGCTCCGGTCGCTGGGCGCCTGCTGAACCCCAGGCGGCGGCAGCAGCGGCCCTCTGGGCCCGCAGCAGCACCCGTGATTCCCGGCTCCCCGCCCCCACTCCTCGGGACAGGGGTCTGTCCCAGCCTTCGTCCGTCCTCCACGCCCAGAATCCGCCCGCGAAGGCCGTAGCTCGGCCCGGGCCTCGCGTGCAGCGCTTACCCATCACCTGGACCCTGCAGATGGCGCATGTATCGCACTCCACGTCCCAGCTCCACATGGCCACCGCGTTCCACTTCTTGAGAGAGAACATTTTGTCGCCTCCTGACTTGGAGCCTGCGCTCCCGGAGTGAGAAGACAGGGCGCAGGGCTCCTCGCCGTCTTCCACGTCGGCCATGGCGACGGCGCGGAGCCGGCAGCGGAGACGTTAAGTCGGGGGAGGCGGGCGGCTATGGCGGCTCTGTGGGGTCGCCCGGCGGGCCCACAGCGCCGCCTGCAGGCCGCGGTTCCCCGCGGTGCCTATGACAGGGACACCCCGGATTGGCTGGCGCGGCCCAGTGACGTCACCTTACGCTAGCGCCCTGGCGCACTTCTCCCTGCACCTCAGCTCGCTGGGGCAGCCGAGAGGGTTTAGGGCCTCCGGGGAGTTTCCGGTGTGAAGCCCGGGCTCTGTGCTGTTGCAGTGTTGCTCTCCCGTGCTCCGGAGCACGCTGCGCAGGAACCTTGCTGTGTGACGTCACGAAAATTACCACTCTCACAAATTCTCTTGTTAATATAACCGTTTGTCTCGGCTCCCTCAACCCCCTGCCGACTTCCGACCCCCGAGCCCCCCTACACGTAAACTTCTTCAGAGCTGGGACCAAGTCTTTTACCACCGCTTTGTTCGCGGTATCTTAACTTCTGGCCTCAGGTCTTCTGAGAAACCTGGGTCAGTGGTTCTCAAACTTTTTGGGCTCAGGACCCCGTTATACTTAAAAATTATTAGGACCTTAAAGAGGCTCTATGTAAGATGCATATATTTGCTTTTTAATAACTTTTAATTGAGAGGAATATTTAAATGTATCCATTTAAAAGTAACAGTAATAAACTCACAAGTTATTATTAAAGCGATGGTGTCATAGACACAGTAGCTTCTGGAAAACTCGACCGTACACTCATAAAGAGTGAAAAGAGGGAACTAGCTCTGCTGTTACGCAAACGGTTTTGACCCATTGGTCCCCGAAAAGGATGCCAAGAACCCTGGCATCCATGCTCTGAAAACCTCCGATCTAGTTTGCCCTCCTCCTTTTAATAAGGTCCAGAAAAGTGAGTAACTTAAGGAGTACACTGCTCTTGTGTGAAGGTGACAGTTACGAAACCTGAGTCCTTCTACTTTTAGCCTGGGGTCATGTTCTTCTGTTTTCTCAAGCAAAACAGACAACATCTTCATTTAAAAGATAAGAAAGCTGAGGTAGTGAAAGTCTGAGATGCCTGATCACCACCACCACCTAGTGGTGGACAGCTGTTTCGTCAGGTTTCGGATTCAGAGCCTCCCATCTCCTCTTAATGGGCCTTTGAACATCTGGTCTCCTGATACCAGACCTCGTGCATGGATGGGAGCTAACCAAACTCAAGGAGTTTGGCACAGGACACAAGGATGCATAAATATGTAAAAATGGAAATATGGACACAGGGTCACATTTGGCTAGATGCTATATGTGCTGCTTGTTGAGTGGAATGTGAAGTGCTGTGAAGGACAGAGATATTGCTGAGGACTGACGCCGTGAGGAAAAGCCTCATGGAAGAGGTCAAGTTTGAACTGGGGGGAGATGGGATGCCTTCCAGACCAGGAAATGAGTGAAGAAAGCACCACTCTCCAAGCTGTCAACCAGAGCAGAGCAGAAGTGGTGGCAGATGTTAATCTGACCACACTAGCTTTATGAGCCAGATAAAAATGCCTGTAAACAAACCCAGATGAGCCATACAAAGCACATGTTCTGTTCGTATTAAACGGCCACACATCAGACTAGAGATGGCTCTAAATGCCAGACATCTAACAGAGGAGGAAGACGGGAACCAGACGAGAGTAAAATGCACTCACCTCGTGGGAACTGGGCAGTTTGAAAGAGAAGAGAGCCGTGCAGTTGAAAGGATGAAAGCTCAAGGACGCTCTTTCTTCCCCACACTCTTAGATCTCTGAACCTGGACAGAACCTCCCCTACCTGCTCCGGCTGGATTGCTCTCCTCACTGAGGGAAAACGTACTCATCTTTGTGTCTTCACTGACTGCTCTTTGCCAACATAGATTCGTATATATACTTCCGGGAAATCACAGCACTTACTCTACTCTTGACACTGAGTCACACAGCAACCAAAAAGGGCTGTTACTGATGTTTACCAAACAATTTCAAGTGTTTGTGTTTTTTTTTAAGTTTATTTATGTATTTTGAGAGAGGTGGGGGGGGAGAGAGAGAGAGAGAGAGAGAGAGAGAGAGAGAGAGAGAATCCCAAGCAGCTCCACACTGTCAGTGCAGAGCTCCTGTGGGCACAGAGCCTTCTTGGGATTCTCTCTCTCCCTCTCTCTGCTCTTCCCCTGCTCACATGTGTGCATGGTAACACACTCTCTCTCAAATAAATATTAACAAATAATAAGATGAAATTTAAATTGACAGCTCATAAATGATAAAAATGTTAAAAAAGTAAAATGAGTCTACAGTGAAGAAAAGCAAGTACTGTTAATCGACTCTCCAGAAATTCCTATACATGTACAAACAGATACATAATACAACTCATTTAAAAATTTTTAATTGTGATAAAATACACACAATGACGTTTATCACTATTTTGTATAGAGTTCCAGTAGTACTAAGTACATTTACATGGTTATGCAACCACTCTCCAGAACTCTTCCATCTTCCAAAATGGAAACTATGCTCATCAACAACTTTCTATCTGCCCTTCTTCCCCCAGGAACCAGCATTTTACTTTGTTTCTGAGTTTGATTATCCTAGGTCCCTCATATAAGTGGAACCATACAGTATTTGTCTTTTTGTGATTGTTTTATTTCACTTGGCATAGTGTCTTCAAGTTTCATCCATGTGGTAGCATGTGTCAGCATTTTCTTCCTTTTTATTTATTTATTTTTTAAAAGTTTATTTATTTTTGAGAGAGAGACAAGAGTACAAGCAGGGGGAGGGACAGAGAGAAAGGGAGACACAGAATCCAAAGCAGGCTCCAGGCTCTGGGATGTCAGCACAGAGCCCTATGCGGGGCTCGAACTCATGAATGGTGAGATCATGACCTGAGCTGAAGTCGGATGCTTAACCGATTGAGCCACCCAGGTGCCCCAATTTCCTTCCTTTTTAATGCTGAGTAATATTCCATTGTATGAACAGACCACATTTTACTTATCCATTCATCCATCAATAGACATTTGAGTTGCTTGCACATTTTGGCTATTGTGTAGAATGCCACTATGAACATGAGTGTACAAGTGTCTCTTCATAACCCTGTTTTCAGTTCTTTTGGGCATATACTCAGAAGTGGGATTGTTGGTTCATATTACATAAATTCATTTTCATATGAGTTTATTTTACACATATTATTCTCTAGCCTGCTCTTTTGCTTAGTGTGAGAGGACACTTTCTATATAAGCACTACCATATCCACAGTATTCTTGACGGCTGCACAGTATTCCCCCACATATATTCCTGTGATTTATTTCTCTGAGAATCCTTTGAGAGACATTTAGCCGTTTCCAATGTATAATAAACAGTGCTGCAGTGAACATCACTATAAATGTTTCCTAACTCATCTGTAAGAGTATACCTGTAAAATAAATTTCTAGAAGTAGAATGCCTAGGTCAAAAGTTATGTATTTTTCATTTTGATAGACATTGTCAAAAGACTTCTAAAGAGGCACAAAGATTTTACATGCCAACCTAGTGGATGTCTGTGGCAAATTTCAAAAAGGTCTTTTTTTTTTTTTTAAAGCAGGAACAATTTCTCAGGAGGCCTCACACATTGGATGTATAAATTCTGAAGATCTGTAATGTTATTTCAACTCTTACACTCTATTATTGTTACTTTGAACATATGAGAATCTTGTCTTCCTAGGTAGATACTAAGATATTTAAGGGTGAACATAATTTACTCTACCCATACTCACCTCCACAGATAGTTTAGTTCCATAAACCTGCCAGAACCTGTTACATTTGTACATAGTATGAATGACATTCTTGCCTTAAAAAAAAACTTTAATTAATGCTATTTTTTTAAGTAGGCTTCACACACAGCACAGCGCCCAACACAAAGCTTGAACTCACAGCTCTGAGATCAAGACCTGAGCTGAGATCAAGAGATGCCTAACTGACTGGGCCACCCAGGTGCCCCTATTTAATTTAACTTTAAGCAGGCTCCACACCCAACTTGGGGCTTGAACTCATGATCCTGAGTTCAGGAGCCTCATACTCTACCAATTGAGCTAGCCAGGCACACTGACAGTCTTGCTCGTTGTGATTTTTTAACTTCAAAAATGAAGAAGTCTTAAGTCTTTTTTTCTTTCTTTTCCTTTTTCCTTGTGTAGCTGTTCCAAGTGAAAATAACTGGAAACATTGAATTCTAACATCAACAATAATAGTAGCCACTAATATTTATATTTGAGCATGCACTATGAAACAAGTATTGTCCAAAAATGTTTGACATGTGTCCTCTCATTCAGTGCTCACCAAATGAGACAGGTGCTATTCTTATCTGTATCTTGCATCAGGGAAAACTGAGGCTCAGTGAGGCTAGCTGACTTGGCCAATGTCATACACCTGGAAGGCAGTACTTTTCCAGAGAATTCCAGTCCATTTCATTCTCCAGTCCATGCTTTTCATCCCTGCACCACATTGTCATAGCATATGACTTTCAACTAATCCAATTTATCATCCATACATCGGTCAACCATACCTCTTGCCTTTCCCATGGAGCAGATATCTTCATGGGCAGGGAGATAAAGTGATTAGAAGTTTACTCATTTGGGGAATATCCCCATTTTGAAAGACGCTGTCTTTCAGAAAGTGGTTATTACTTCCAAATATTCCTATTGTTCCCAACTATAGATATACTTATGAAAGTAGATTCTTTCTTTCTTAAAGATCATGACTTCCTTTAAATTATAAATTTCACATGCACATAAGAAGCCCTAGAGAAGAATCCTACCTATTTATACTAAGGCCAACTTGTGAAATCCACATTTTAGAAAATGACAAGCATAGTAGGATTAATAGTACTTTGAACTTTCATAAAACAGTCATCAAATTTTAGAACTGGAAAGAGGCATGGTTCCAGCGAATCTATTATTATTGAACAAGCAATATCTTTGTAGGCTATGGAAATAGATAACACCCATAAAAAGATATGGCATCCACATTCATTTTTTAGCCTGTGAAATAATGAACAAAAAATCACAAATTAAAAAAAGAAAAAAGGAAGTTCAACATCATACAATAAAGAGTAAACATATGTAAA